CCCATTCTCTTGCACAAAGGAGCAGATACTGGTGCTGCTGGGTTACCTCCCTCTCTTCCTGTGTAATGGCCCCTCTCGTGGGATCTCTGCAACACTTTTGAGACAGTAAACATTCCTGCAACAGCATACATTGATGTGCCATTTTTGGAGGACCTGGTCTACTTGTGCAGCCTGAATGGGCTGCAGGTACTGTCTCATGTTACCAGTAGTGATAAGGATGCAAGCAAAAAGCAGGGTTAGAGAGAAATCAGGCAGCAGGGAAAAGGAGAGAGCAATGGTTCTGTGGGCACCACCTGTAAAACCATTCCCTCTTAGGGGGGTTGTCTTGTAATTTTTCCCCTAATCGGTGAACCTCATAACTTTCATGTTTACCAAAGCAAGCATAATGAATTCACAAAACTCGATAGACTGATATGCCTTAAGTTTAACTGACTTTGTGTAATACCGTGATCATTAAGTGCGCCGTTAATTAAAAAAAAAAAAAGTTTCCTTTATTTATTGAACGGCGTATACAATGAGCTTACATGAGGACAATTTTTAAACATTTTCTAGGTTTCTTGCTGGAGGTGAACAGAGGTCGCACCATAGGTATCTGTGTGCCCCCAATTGGACAAATGATGAACTACACTGCAGTTTAAAAAACTCTTGGTATGTTCACTGTGGTCATGGTGCAACAGTTACTGAGAGGTTTGCCTCAGATTTATGCTTCTTTTCAAATGTGAGTGTTATTGACACAAACCAAAGCATTCAGGCAGTGTCAGCCTTGTATAGAGAGATTCATGCTATAAACTGACACTGTGGCTCTGAAGTGAAAATCTAAATGACTTCAGCAATTTTTCAAGCACTTTTTTAATCATTGCAGAAAGACAACTGTTTCAAGTTACAAATAAAAAAAAAAGAAAAAGTAACATTTTCCCCCCATGAAATGAACACACACCCACACACACATGAAATAATTTACGTTTTATCACACATTGTTAAATAAATAATATTTATACAAATATGTAATTTTTTTAAATTTTACTCAGAAAGCTGATTTAGCACGCTGTGCTTCTCCCAATGCAGAATTGCACATACAGTACTGCCCTGCTCTCAGGGTATACAGGTTATGGAGTAGTTCAGCATGTGGAAGCATGACAGGTGTGACTGGCAAAGGCATTGCACTGCCCTCAAAGCAACAATACACCGGCATCATCTTAAGGCCATTATAAATGGTTTAGCCTGTGTGCGTTTGTATAACCTGCACGATCCTCCTCTTCCTCAGTAACCTGCTTGCAAACCTGCTGCCCATGCTACATCAAAAAGAAGCCGGTGTATTGATGCTTTGAGAGTACAGAAAGAAGGCGATGTTAATGATACATTCCCATCTTGTTTTTGTGATAGTAAGTCAAAGAACTGATATTGTCGAAATATTTTTCTTCCCACTCCCACATTCTTGCAGGGTTTTTTTTACTACTATCATGCGGACATGATCTACAGTCTGTGCCCCGTTGTAACAAGTAATAAGCACCAATAAAAACTTTCCAATTTAAACTCCTACTATAGTCTCTGTTGTGTGACACTACACAAAATCTACATTAGTTCAAATAAAATCATGAAGTTGGTTGCATACTAGTAACATTGTACCACGTCGTCACCTTTTGCATCCTTCCTCCGTAGTTTTAAAAATAATATGGCATGGTGTGAAAGTCATCTGTAATATAATATTTCAAACAGTGTTTTCAGGTGGTCCTTCAGTGAAGCTGATGCAGCTCTCTGTTTTGCTAACACTTCTTTAAACAGCTAATGAGTTAATGAGTAGTCAGTGAGCAATGAGTTATGCCTACCACAGTTGGCCCCTTATCTCTTAAAATCTACTCTAATACTTTTTAATAATCATTCAGCTTTGGCAAAAATGTTACTTTTTGTTTGTTCTTCCAGTGCTGTTTCAGACAGAAATCCAGAAAAAAACCTCTCAGACCACCACCGGCCAGAGAAATGCTGGAAATGCTGAGGATCGCCAGTTGTTTATGAGGTGTAGCCGGGGAAAATAGTTGCCACTGTACACTTCAACATCTGTAAATTCAAACAAAGAAGCTCTAAGAATTTTATGGCTTCTGTGCACTTACAACTTTGGGGATTTTCAGAGGTATGAATGAAGAAGAAAGTTGCGAAGAAAGGCAAAAAGAAGAGTTACCAGCGTTAGTAAATGTCACAGAGAGGAACATTTTCTCTTTCAGAGTTCTGAATAATCCACTCAATAGCATCCCAACCCTACAGATTCACAGAGAGAAAGAAAGGTTAAAAACAAGACCAAGGCCCAGAGACTGGCCAGTGAACATCCTGGTGGGGTTGTAAACCACTGACTGTGCTTCTGCCAGAGTGGTAAAGAAACTAGCAGAGAAAGCAGAGGCCCACTTAGAAGACATGCAAAGACTGTATTATTTGAATCTGCATTCATCATCAAATCAGGGTGCAAAAGACAAATAAAAAGAGAAACATATTATGTGTTACCTTCCTGGCGTTAGCTGACATACTCCTGGCCATCATGGCTTCCAGGTAGCTGCCCAGACTGACTCCCTTCACTGTAATGATGGCTTCCTGGGTCAGGACAGTCCTGAGCAGAGAGAGCACAGGCGATGGCAGAGACATCGTTAAACAGAAAAACATTACCGTAACATCTTGTTTCTGCAAAAAAATAGTGTCACGGTGATTCTGGCTCCTATCTCTTAGCCCTTTAAAAATGGACTGATGGTATTCATTCTAAACACATGCAAATAAAATAAAAGTTAGACTACTTACACCTCAGGATTTTCTGGGTGTGGTCTATAAAGAAGCCTCTCATCCACAGATATGAGGTTAGTTAGAGTGATCTGGAAAATAAAAGGGTAGATGGTGACAAAGTCTGTGCCACACTTTGTTTAAAAGCATTTATCAAGCTGCAAGCCTCCATATTAACTTACATTTGTTGAGCACAACTCCATCTTTTTCTCCTCTGGATCAACTATGGAATGTTCCTTCACATAGGTCTGTGTCTGGTTGGTTCCCAGTATCTACAGACAGAAATATACAGCACAGACACACTAAATCACACCAGCAATCAAACCTGTACTGGCAACAGCCTAATTACTACAAACACTTCATTCACCTGAAGTGTTTGTAGTCACTTCAGGTGAATGAATTGTTGTGCTGTCATTCCTTTGAAACACGGAACCCCTGCAAGACATTGAGAACCATTTCATATATCTGTATCTGCTGATGACTGACCGCTCTGACGATAGCCGGTAGGCCCCACTCTGTGCTGAGGAGTCTGTGGCTGTGAAGCCGGCCCTCTGTGTCCAGACTGCGGTCCAACACGTCCACCCCGATCACATTAGGGTTCATGGGATTGGGGTACTTCCTCATAGCAGCCTTGATCACCGTCTCCCAAGGGTAACTGCACACAGACCAGGACAAGATAACGTTTAAATGTGGTTACAACAGCAGCCATCAAAAATCTTCCATTGTTGGTTTCTGAAAGACACACTCTGGCTTGGACAGGTGTGGTTAGTGATCATCCTTGAAACATCATCAGTGGCACGCCTCCTGGTGTCAAGCCCATATAAAGACTTACCATCATGACTTAACATAGAGCAGACTGACTGGAGATATGGAGCCATGAGCTTCACCGTTTAAAGCACCGGGTTACATTAAGTTAAAGACAAGGACATGCCGGCTCAGTGTGCTGACCAACCTGAAAACATGCTCCGTGCTCCAAATTTTCATTTTATATGTCAGTCTGTTGACCTTATCGCGGAACAAAACGCCCTTTTCACCGCACCATTATAATGAGGAACTAGCTCCAGTAATGGGAGAATGAGGCCTGTGATGACAGAAGCTCACGAACATCAATGCAGTGAGTCCAGGGAACACATCCCAGCTTTTCTCCGCATATCAGCTTCGCGTAAAAACTGCGCAAAACACCCTGCGATCCCCGCGTCACGGCGACGACAGGCAGATGGCCTGTAATGGATGAATTCAAGTAAATCGTCCCGCTAGGACACAAAAGAAGCCGGTGCAACTGCGGAGGCAAGTAGCGTCAAGTCACATAGTGAGATACAGGAGTCAGGTCGCACATTTCAGAATAAAATCCTCGCTCGAGTGTCCTGATCAGTCGACGACACTGGTTTTACCGACATCACGTAGAGTATGTGGACGATCTCATGGAGATATACAGTTCATAAACGTTAATTAGCATTAATCTTTTTATTAGTGTCAGAATTTTTCTATATGAATGTACTCGTAATGAACAGCGCCCTAAACTGCAATCATATCTCTTAATTTGTATCATTAATGGCGTTTATACAACTCTTTAATGCACTATGATGCAACACTTTCAATGAGTGTATTCCAATGAGATTTCTGCGAAGGGTACCGCTCTTCCTGTCTGACTCTGCTTGTGTCCGGCTGACTTGACTAAAGCTGGTGAAGCGCTTGTTGCTGCATCCGTCTCAATTTGTGCGCATGTGCAAAGCATCCTTCCCTCATCCACCGACAAGTGGCAGCAAAGGAGCGGGGTTGAGTCAAGTTGCACGAAGGAGATCGTAAACCTAACCGGAAATAAAGGGTAAGTCCTTTCCAATAAAAACCCAAAGTGCGCTATTATAAAGGAGAAAAGAAAAGAAAAGAAAAATAGAAAAACAACAAACCAAATCATATAGACAATAATAATAATATTATATAATGATTATTATTATTATTATTATTATTAATAATAATGACAATAATAATAATAATACGCTACGTCGAGATGAACGCAATCAACTTTTGGAGATTTACTTACCTGGATGATTGAGAATTCATCAAGACGAAACTATTATTATTATTATTATTATTATTATTATTATCATATAATATTATTATAATAATATAAGATCATTGGGGTGGGGTGCAATCAGTTGGGAACAAAATCTTATTATTTTTGAAATATAACCGGAAGTACAACATAATAACTGTTTGGATTTACGCTCGTGTTGTTGGTATTCATAGAAGCAGACGCGCAGTGGAGGCTAGTATGGTCCCTTAACGAGAATTTCGTGCCATTGCCGTTCATTCAGCGGCCCGTCTGTTTCACTCCAAATAACGGAACAATTCATCAGGTCACATAAAAGTCTATCAGGAGATTGGAGGTCGGATTAACGCGCATCGCGTGACCTTGCACTGAATGTAAAAATAGTGGGATTTTCTTTTAAAGCACCGACACGGTAAGGAAACGAGCATCCTCATCCGCGCGGAGGTGAAGGCGAGACAAATGTCGCTATTGTGGCCTACTGTGCGATGCATGCAGACGTTGAGTGTCAGATCATGTGTTTTGTGGAAAGCGTTGTTTTAATGGCGCATAGATACAATCAGCTGTGAGTTTTTGAGAGATCAGGCTGACAATAAGACTGCTCGTGCAGCCCGTGGTTGAAGGCCGGGATTGCATGCCGCAGAAAGCAAACCCGTGACACAGAGTGGGCTTTTTAAAACGCATGCAATAAAGCTTTTATCGCAATAAAAGCTTTTAGAGATATGCGTATTAAATACGAATCTTAACTTCCATATAAATTGCAATTATTGTCTTATTCTCTGATCGGTTTTTGTGTAGAGCGCGTGCAGGAATATGGCAGATGCTGCAGCATCGCTTGATCCGCTCCGGGCCGGAGAGAGAAAGGGGAGGAGAGGGAGGTGGGGGGTGGTGCACCTTTTTAGGAGCGTTAAATCACACCCTGCGTCTGAATGTGCAATCCACAGTCAGAGTATTTCATCCTGGCTCTCTTTACAGGAGATGAGGCATTTCATTGTAAAAGTATGTAAGGCATCTTCTCGTTCGAAGAGTCACCAGGTTGGCTGTTGGTCGTGTTCAAACCAAAAATCTGCTGACACATGCGCTCTACCAGCCTGTGTTCCCAGCTTTTGTGCGCAATGAACCCTATTGCCCAACTACCAAGGCCTCATGGAGCACCAAACTCCTATCATATAACTGACCTCCCGTTGGCCTATTGATCTATTTATTTGATTACTTTTCTGAGGAGTGGTGTTAAAATAAAATTATTGCCATTATTAAGATGTCTTTTCCCTGTTATTGCTCTTCTACATAATGACACCACTCAACCTCAGTGAATTTAGCTCTGTTTATTAAATGGTTGTCTGTTTTATTTCAGGTTAACTACCCCAGCCATGGAGATCATCACACATTTAATCAACGACACCATAGAGTTCTACAAATGGACCCTCACTATTGCAGGTAATACCTTCAAAACATCCGGCATGCCTGAGAGCATCTGTGTGAGATATTTTAAGATCAGAGAAGTTGTATTTATCAGTGAGTAAATGCACATTCACTTGCCCGTGTGTCCAGCCTTAGATATTATGTATCACTCTGCAGGGTTCTTGCTGCTGTGAGTCATTATAGAGGGAGTTAGTATAAGAATAGTGCATCACTGGCAATTTGTTAACAAATTACTCAATACTTTAGGACATATAGTAGCTATATATGTACTGCAATATACCGCAGTATGTATTTATGTTGCTACACCCAGTAACAGGCCCTGTACCCTTTATCAACCCAGGATATACTTGGATGCTCTCTCAAAGTATCACCATCAAACTGACCACTGGGCATCCACCTGCAGGATATTATCTGTTATCTGCACTACTACTCAGCACGAGCACTCCTCTCAAAATATACTGAACCCACGCTGCATCAGTGCAATGCAAATATTACGAATATTTATGTAACTCTATGAAAACATGTTTCTGTCAGACAAGCGTGTGGAGAAATGGCCCCTGATGGACAACCCCCTACCCACGCTCGCCATCAGCACCTCCTACCTCCTCTTTCTCTGGCTTGGGCCCAAATACATGAAGAACAGAGAGCCCTTCCAGCTCCGCAAAACCCTTATTGTCTACAACTTCAGCATGGTCTTCCTCAACTTCTTCATCTTTAAAGAGGTAGATTGTCACATTGTTTTGATTGTTACTTGCACGTGTCCAATAACTGCAGTCAGTGAATTAAATCTGATATCCTCTTATTCCAGCGTTAACTGTGCTCCCGAGTTGATACGTTACAGCAGCCGTTTTGTCCTCTGGGTTTAGACTAACCTAATTACAGTGTACTCATGCTCTTGTCTGCACTCCATCTCTTCTTTTCTCTGCCATTATCACTGTATGCTTGATAGCAGTGACTCAATGGACACTCTTGTTTTTTCAGCTGTTTATGGCAACGCGAGCAGCCAGATACAGTTACATTTGTCAATCGGTGGATTATTCAGATGATCCCAATGAAGTCAGGGTGAGTGTTCAGAGCGTGCACACACACACACACTTGCATAGATAAACTCTGAATATAGTAGTGGGACTTCAGCTGTTTATGTAACTTACTATTTTAAGACTTTTGTGGCTACAATAATTAGTTTCCTTGGAACCAGATCCCTACCTGTTAATAATTCTCCACTGTACCCATGGTTCAGAAAATTACAGTCAGCCTGCCAGGGACACGTCACTCAGAGAGCTTTTAGAAACATGAGCGGCGTCCATACATTTAGAGCATGGGCCTGTTATCAGAAAAAAGTACAAGCCGGAGTTGAATGGTGTTCAGTTTCACCTTCCTTCCTGTTGCTCCATGACGTAGTTTGAAACAGAAACCACAAGTGAGTCAGTCTCGGGTCGAGGTTAAGATTTCCAAAATCAGAGTTCACGCACATGTAGCTCTTGATCATATATGTTCATATGTTAACAGTCTTTTTCTTCTCCTTCTTTATTTCTGTGGGAGTCAGGTGGCAGGAGCTCTGTGGTGGTATTTCATCTCCAAGGGCATTGAGTATCTGGACACTGTGTTTTTCATCTTGAGGAAAAAATTTAACCAGGTCACCTTCCTTCACGTCTACCATCATTGCTCCATGTTCACGCTCTGGTGGATTGGCATCAAGTGGGTGGCAGGAGGACAGTGTGAGTAGCTCACAACACAGCAGACATCAGCTATATGCTGAATTTATCAGCATTGCTGTTGATAAAGCCTTCACCGGCTCTGTAGTTTTGTGATTTATACTGGGTGAGGGCTGGGAAGAGACACAAATCCCTTGGTGGGTGCTTCAGGAAGCTAAACCAAACATGTGGAGCTACTTGTCTATAAACCTTTTATTCACTACTGGTAAATGTATTCATTATTGTTGTTTGTTGAGCTTATTTTTTTTATAATATGCATCTGCATATTAACAGCCATGCTAGCAACTCTGTAAAGTTATACCACAGGCAGAGGAGCACTTTGAGCTAAGTGCTAATGCCAACAAGGCAACATGTTGAGAGTAATAGCATTTAATCGCTGAAGTTTACTATTGGGTACAATGTTTATCATGTTCACAGTATGTATTTAGCATGATAACACACTATCACTTGCTAATTAGTAAACGCAGGTGCAGCTATATGTATATTTGCAAGTAGATGATTGTGACTGAGAGTAAACTGAGTCTGAACACTGATGAGGAAGCTAGATGACAAATTTCACTGAAACCCACAAGCATAGTATCGTCATATGTAGCTTGGATGGTTTAATCTGGATTCATGGGGCCCCTGGACCTACGCTTGTTTGTATCTCCCACCCCCTCAACTATTGTCTTTTTATTGGATACAGACAGCAGGAGTTCAAAGCAACTCAGTTTAAGATTTTTTTTTAACTATAGTAAGCAGAACAAAATTAAAAACTTATTGTTTCTTCTACTGCAGCATTCTTTGGTGCACATATGAATGCGATGATCCATGTCCTGATGTACCTGTATTACGGTCTTGCCTCCTGTGGACCTAAGATCCAAAAGTACCTGTGGTGGAAGAAGTATCTGACAATTATCCAGATGGTAGGTTGATTTCCAGGGTGGCTGATTTTGAAATTAAATATATTGATTGTAGGGATCATTTGACTGAAAATCATTCTTCTTGCTATGAAAGAACAGTGAAAACACAATATGGTGCAAAAGCATAACTCTTATTCTCTCTTTGGGGCTCAGGTTCAGTTCCATGTCACCATCGGTCACACGGCCTTGTCTCTCTATGTCAACTGCGATTTCCCCCACTGGATGCACTACTCCCTCATCTGCTACGCCATCACCTTCATCGTCCTGTTTGGCAACTTCTACTATCAAACCTACCGCCGCCAGCAACCCGCACGTCGCGACGTGTCCTCTTCCTCTAAAGCCGGCAAGGCTGTTTCTAATGGCACCCTCAACGGCCTCAGCAAAGCTGCCAACGGAGCAATGCTGATGGGGAGCAAAGAGGAGAAACCCCAGGAGAACTCTGGGAGGAGAAAGAGGAAAGGACGAGCTAAAAGAGATTAAAGGAGGGTGAGTCAAAGAGGTTCAGGTGAGGTAGGGCCTTGCTTGGTTTCTAGGCTGATCGTGCTAAAACATGAAAGACTTACTTTGAGGAAGATTTAGATAAGTGGATGATCAGGTGGGATGAGTTTATTTAAGCCATGATCTGAGTTGTATATAAAATACGAGGCAGGCATTTTTTGTTAAGAGAGGACCATTCTGTTACTAAAAGGTGATCGCTGGTCATACACCGGATGACCATTATCACAACACCAAATACAACAGTTTCTGGTGTCAGACAGAGCTTTGTATTCCTTCTCTTTATTGTGGCGCTGAGTAGACCTGCTTCCATGAGTGACTTTTAGCTAGTTAAAATCGAAGCCTGAAAAGTGAGAAAGTTGCATTTAATGCATCTGAGCTGGTAAAAAGCAATTAGAAACTGCTATACTGAGACAGGAATACACATGATAACAGAAATGTCTATTTATATTTGAGTGTATTCTTATTTTTTGTTGCTTACCTGTACAGATACAAAGCTGACGATAACGTACACTATCGTGTCAGTTTTGTCCTCATATTATTTACACGTTGTTGACGTTGCACAGGTGAGACTTTGAGTTTACAGCACCTGTGTGCTGCAAACTGACACTCCTACAGGTAGCCACTTAGTTGTGCAGATGAAACTGTCTTATTTACACTAATTTATTTATGGGATATAAATGCTCACTTTTGAGCTGTCATCCATTAACGCACAAGTATACATATATATACATATATATATGTATATATATATATGTATATATATATATGTATATATATGTAAAGGAGAAGAAGAAATCCATATGCAGAGATACATAGGGGTACATAGAAATAGGAGTAAATGAATTGTCAACCCTGATTGGATGATGCTGTTCCACTGCTGCTTTTAAGATGAAAAGATTAGCTTCAGCTCACATGGGGGTGACAAATTATTATTTCTATTTACAACCATAACCAATTTTGCATATCCTTACCTGTATGTAATGTGATGAAATGTAATAAATGTTATTCAGATAAATGATGAATCTGATGACTATCTCAGTGTTCCCCCACCACCACCCCACCCCCGTCAGCGAAGCTGGCTGCGTTGTGTCTTTGCTGATGTTTACTTGTCTTTTTATATTCTGTCCTCTCAGAAGTTGTCGTTCGTCTTAGACCCTGGTGAAGATGTAATGTGCTGACGACATGGTGGCATTCTGGCTTCCCTTTTGTACTTGTAGAGAATTCAGAGCTAGCTTACAGCTGCTACCTTTTTTTAAAGAAACAAAACATCACGTTAACTAAACCTGCCTTCAGCGCTGTTTTCTTTGAGAAAAACTCCTTTACGTATTCAGTCAACTTTTCAGATTGAATTCATGCCTGGAGCAGGCTTGAATGTAAATTTATCAGAAACAAGATTTGGATTAGAAAAGATAAAAGATAATGATTTCTACATAAAAAGACTTTGTGTGCATCTATTAGAACTATGTATGCATTACCACTGTCTGTAGTATATGGAGCATAAATGATCAGCCTGATATATATGAACAACTCCTGGCTTATTTCATCTTTCAGCTAATGTGTTTCAATGTCATTTTATTTATTGGTTATTTATTGTTATGTAAATACTGTTTTCCACCTTGCTAAGAGTAATTGTCTATGTATTTGTCTTCTTTTTGTGTTGTACATATTATATTGTGATATTTTGGACACTGCTCATTTGGGAATGTTCCTGCCTTTTCTGCTTGGGCGTTTTATAAGTCAACATTGCTTCCTTTTTTCTTTTTAATATCTTATCTTTGAACTCTCTTCAGATTAAACTAAACTGAATGCCTGTACAAATGCTGACTTGGTTTAATTGTCTCCTTCATGGTGCAGTTTGTCTTTAACAAAGATATTTTCATTCAGCACTTACCAGAATCTTCATTAGGTACACCTGTACAACTGCTTGTTAATGCAAATATCTAATCAACCAATCACGTGGCAGCAAATCAATGCATACATGGGAAAGGTCAAATTGAGCATCACAATGTGGAAAAAAGGTGATTTAAATTACCTTGAATGTGGCGTGGTTGCTGGGGCCAGACAGATTTGTATTTAATATTTGCTGATCTGCTGGGATTTTCCTCACACAACCATCTATGTGGTTTCCAAAGAATGGTCTTAAAAAGAAAAGATATTTTGTGAGCTGCATTTCTTTGGCTGAAAATGCCTTGTTGACAGTAATTTATGAGATACAGAAGTGCATTTACCCAGCAGATCGAACCTTAAATCCCTTAATTTTAAATTCTTCTTAACATTTTTTAACACTTTCTATATGTTCATGTAAAGTTGGGTAACAGTCTAAGTCTAAGAATTTCATTAAGGGTAAATGTTGCTACAATGTTTTCTGAATATGACAATAAACTTGAACTGAACCTTGGCGCAGATGGGCTACAGCAGCAGTAGAATATACTGGATGCCACTCCTTTCAGCTAAAAAGAAGGAAATTGAAGCTACAATTCACACTGGTGCCAAAATTAGTCAACAGAATTCTGGAGAAAGGTTGCCTCGTATGATGAGTCTTGATTTCTGCTGCATTCAGATTGTAGGGTCAGAATTTGGCATGAACAACATAAAAGTATGGATCCATCCTAACTTGTTTCAGCGGTCTAGGCTGGTGGGGGATGATGTAAAGGTGTTGGTTGTTTTGCACCCTGTATTGCCAGCTGAGTACCCATTGAATTCCACAGCTTAATTACATATTGGTGCTGACTGTGTCCATCCCTTTGTGACTGCAGATTATCGATCTAATGATGGCTGTTTCCAGCAGGATAACGCACCATGTCACAAAGCTCATGTCATCTCAGACTGGTTTCCTGATCATGAAGGTGTGTTTGCGACTTCCACAGTCACCATATAACAGGGCACCTCTGGGAAATAGTGAAACAGGAAACAGAGATCATGGATCTGCAGCAAAATCTCAGATGAATGTTTCTCTGTTGAATCTGTACCATGGAGATTAAAGCAGTTCTGAAGGCAAAGGCTGGTCGAACCTAATACTGACAAGGCCTGAAAAATGTGTTTGAATCAAGTTTGTGTTTTTACCCTTAATGTGGATTTCCAGGTTTAAAAAACAATGGGGGAGATTGGTCACATTAAAATGAGCATCAAATATTAAATTGTGTGCTCACTACACTGACCACGTTTTTAAATGGAAATAACTTGTCATAAACATAATGTACTGCCTGGTTTCATGATATGAAGAGAATAGACCTAAGTTTTCAATAGATATGTGAATCAAATGATCCCAGTTCTCAGCATACTGTTTAGGTTCTTCATCAAAAACCATCAGATGGTGGGAATATGGAAGGAGGGCATAATGGACTGGAGAGAACAGGTTTGATTTGTTTGATCCATGGCAGACATTGTGACCCTAGGAGTATTTGCTCGTGCTAGTCCAACTGGGAGGCGAGGGTTCAGCTCACAGTGTTAGTCTGCAGAGTCCATTTCTTGGCTGGATTATTCTGTCAAGGCCAATAGACTGGTAGACTCAGGTGCAGACTTGGAAGATCTCAGATCAGTGCGGGTTGTTTTGTTGTTGTTGTTTTTTTTAACAGTGAAGAAACTATCTACAACAATCACAAATATGCAAACAGCAAATTATGTTCCGGGGGGAGGGTCCAAACATCCGCCATGCACAATTTTCTCATGCTCAATTCAGGCTCACCACACCAGGGGAGGGAATCCAGGAACCTGTGCAAGAGGAACAGAGAAACAAAAGTTAGTGATGGCTGTCTGATACCGATGCGCTGATATTTCACCACTAGATGTCGCTGAAACGAAGCTTTGAATGAACGGTCCTATTTTCAATACAGTTGATGAAGTGGTTCGGTACTGGTTCATTGCTTTATTTGCACATCAATATCAAAATGCACAAAGGAAGAAGCAGAGCAAAAACAGGAGCCAGGGTTACAACTAACTGTTTAGTTCAATGATCTAGCAGAGGCTGAGCCTCAGCCTTTAAGTAGGGTCCTCCATTATCAGGGGCAGGTGAGTGATTAGAGCAGAGTGTTCAGTCAGAGACGTGAACCGCGAAGTCCCGCCCACAAACAGACACAAACAAATGAGCACAGAGAGGAGAGATAGAAAAAACAAGGGGGAAACAGATAAAAGATAGAACCTGGAGCAGAAGCCAGGAGGACTGAGGGACCATGACAATTTGGAAAGTTAAGGTTATTTTTATTACCTTAATCTGTAAAACAGCCTTTAGCTCAGAGTTGGAAAGTAAGTATATTTACAAAAGTGCTGAACTTAAGTATTTTTCTGCTTTATATTTTCATTCCACCACAATGAGATAGAAAGGTTGCACCTTACTAACAATGATTTGAACCAAACATGTCAAATTTGGATTTGTCACTTGATACGACTGATTGACACTGATTTTTAGTCCATTTCTTGTATAATTTGCCATACATTAGCCTTTTATCCCTGTTCCCCTTCCTTTTTAAAAAAAAAAAGAAGTTTTTTTTTATTAGTTTTTCTGTTTTCACAAATAGTACATAATTATATAACATAATAAAGTGTACAATTCAGAACCAAAAATAAAAACAAAACAAAACAAAACAAAAACAAACAAACAAACAGACTGATAACTAAGCACAAAACACCAGCTTAGGTCCATCTAAAAAAAATAAATAAAGAGAGAATACAATACAGTACAATACCTGTGGTCCCAGTAGTACGTTGCAGTTTAAACACTCAAGAGAATCCTTGTAACATAATATTAGAGATGTCAGGTTCCACATAATTCAAGTATGGTTCCCACACCTTAAAGAATTGGTCTGTTTTTGAGTGCAGTACACATGTAAGATATTCCAATGGCACTAGATCCAACACTACTCTTTGCCAATCTTTAATAGTTGGTGCTTTTTTATTAATCCATTGGAGTAGTATATTCTTCCTTGCTGCAGAGGTGAGAACACAATACAATCTCCTATTATTCTTGGATATTAACCGCCGGCTGGGGAGGCCCAGTATGAGAGACAGAGGGTCCATCTCCAATTCACAACCAAAAATCTTCTCCATTTCAGATAACACATTAGACCAAAATTTTTGCAATTTCAAACATGACCAGAAGCTGTGAGTTAGGGTACCAATTTCTGTCTTGCATTTGAGGCACATGGGTGAAAGTGTAAGATTATACTGATGTCTGCGAAATATGGATATATGCACTCTGTGTATGATTTTCAACTGTTTTGCTTTGGTAAGATTACAAACTGAGATTGATTTGGCGTAACTCCAGACATCTTTCCACTCCTCATCATTGATTGCTATACCTAACTCCCTTTCCTATGTGCCTTTAAGCCTCTGTGACATCACTGAAGGTACAGAATATAAAGCCTTATAAAATATCTTCACAGGTACCTCTTTATCTGTTAAAAATAATAATTTTTCAACAGGAGAGACTTCATGACTCTCACTAAAGTTAGTACTATGCAAGATATAATGCCTCATCTGTAAGTAACAGAAAAAGTCATGTTTGGGGAGAGAATATTTCTCAACCATTTGGTCAAACGGCATAACATCGTCGGAGAATAAGTCCCTCAGTCTGTAAATTCCTTTGTTCTTCCATTCCTTAAAACCTATATCGAACATCCCCAGTTGAAAGTCAAGATTATTCACAATAGGGGTAAACACAGATGTTAACTTCAACCTTCCCTCAATTCGACATACTGACTGCCAGGCCTTAAGTGTATTAAGTGTGACAGCTCAATCTAATATCTTTAAAGTTCTTAAAGAACAGTAAGTCCCTTAATGGATACTTTGAAAGAGAGGTTTCAATCCCCAACCAGATAGAGTGTAAATTATTTGTGACCCAGTCATGAATATAGCTCATGTGAGTACTCAATTGATATGTTCTAATATTTGCTAAATCTAAACCCCCTACTGAACCTGGGAGCTGCAGTGTAGCCATCTTAAGTTTTGGTCTGCGTTTACTCCATGTAAAAGAGCTTAGCCAGCCATTCAGATCCTTCATCACCCTATTTGAAAATATAACTGGAATCATTTGAACAGGATATAACAGTCGAGGCAAAATAGTCATCTTAATCAAAGCTATACGTCCTAGCCAGGAAACGGGTAGGGAATTCCATCTCTCCAAATCCTGCTTTACCTTCGAACAGAGGGACAAAATTTGCTTTATACGTTTCTTTAAATTTTGGAGTTTTAAATATCCCTAAGTATACAAAATCTGTGGGGGACCATTTGAAGGGGAAAGAAAACAGTCCAGCTGGCACTAAATTAAGGCTCCCAATTGGCATAGCCTCTGACTTAGTCAAATTTACATTAAAACCAGAAAATTGGCTAAATGAATCAATAATGTTAAGTAAAGCCGGTATTGATGTCTCTGGATCAGAAATAAATATTAAAACATCATCTGCATATAAACTGATCTTATGCTCATAATCGATTTGCAAGCCCCGTACATCAGGTGCCGTCCTTATAGCCTCGGCTAATGGTTCGATGGCAATGGCAAACAAAAGAGGTGACAGTGGGAAGCCTTGCCTCGTTCCTCTATACAATGAGAAACTATCTAATTTCAGTCCATTAGACAAGATGGACGCCTGAGGATTATCATACAAAATTTTTACCCACTTAATGAAATTATCACCAAGACTGAATTTATTTAAAGTGTAAAATAAGTAAGTCCATTCTATCCGGTCAAAAGCTTTTTCAGCATCCAGAGAAAGCACCAAACTGCCCACGTTCCTTTGCTGAGCAGCCTGAATTAAATTGAGAAGGCGCCTGACATTATTACGAGAATTACGGCCTTTTATAAAGCCTGTTTGATCTTCTTTAATAATTACAGGCAGGAGAATTTCGAGT